TGGACGCTCGTAGCTGCACACCGCATCCGTCAGACATAATYCCTTCGAAAAAATATAGAGTAAGAAGAACTGTTTGATGTAACTACGGCATAAATATYTTTCATATAAAAGTTTGTTGAAAAGTCCSAAATATTATAGGTGTGCCCAAGATAACGATAAAGGATAATTTCACATGAGCCTAAAGAGTCAACATACTTTAATAYTAAATTTTAATGTTAGCCACCCACCTCTGAAAAATCCTGGAYCYGCCCCTRCATAGAGGAGATATAACAGAATGTTTGCGACGTGTAACATTCCCGCTATAATGTAATTCAGAAGTTCATTGTTATTGTTTTAGTATGTTTTTTTTCTCAATAAATACATCACAAACGTTCGTACAAGTTTCAGTGAAGAAACGTACTATCTCTAATGTCTACAAAGAAAAAGGTCTACGACACTCTTAACCGCAAAWTTATCAAGCACTGCATTTAAGTGTCCCTATGGAATTTAGTAAACAAAAATGCATAGTGAAAAAAGAAGAAATTTTAAAAGCGCTTTAAATCTGATTAAGTGTCTATGCCCGATWTAGCAAGTCCGATAGAAATCTAGCAAGAATTTCACGTTTTYCTTTYTGGCGTTCTTTCTCTCATTTCGTCTGTAGTTCCATTTCATTTTCTCCTCTTTCTTCTTGCTCTCCCTCGTCCTCTTTCAGTTTTTCTCCTTCGTCTTTCTTCTTTTCTTTTTCAGTGTGTTTTTTTTCTTTTTTCTCGTCTGTCTTTTTTTCTTTTTGTTCTTTTTCCTTGTCTTTCTCTTTTTCGAGCTTTTCCTTCTCCTCATGTTTTTCTTCGCTTTCCTTTTCCTCTTCGCGATGTTTTTCCTGGTGTTGTTTTTCCTTTTCACGATCTTCTTCTTCTTCCTCCTTCTCTTCAGCGCGGCGTCGCTCCTTGTGGATCTTCTCTTTTACACGATCTTCCTCTTTTTCTTCTTTTTCTTTTTCTTCGTCTTTTTGTTTTTCCTCCTTTTCCTCCTCATTGTGTTTCTCTTTGTCTTCTTTTTCCTTTTCGGTATCTTTCTCTTTCTCTTCTTTCTCTTCGGATCGATGCTTTTCTTTTTCTATTTTATCTTTCAATCCGTCTTCTTCCTTTTCTTCTCTCTCTTTTTCTTCATCCTTTTCTTTCTGTATTTTCTCTTTTACTTTGTCTATCTCTTTTTCTTCTTTCTTTTCTTCCTCTTCTTTCTGCTTTTTGATCTTTTGTTGAAACTCCTGTTCTTCTTCATGTTCTTTTTTGCCCTTAAACCGCAACTGTTTCTCCTTCGCTTCTTTCTCTTTACGTTCTTTCTCTTCTTTCTCTTTACGTTCTTTCTCTTCTTTCTCTTTACGTTCTTTCTCTTCTTTCTCTTTACGTTCTTTCTCTTCTTTCTCTTTACGTTCTNTAAGAAAGGGGGTCGTTGCTGTTCCTGGCTTTCACTTGTTAAGAAAGGGGGTCGTTGCTGTTCCTGGCTTTCACTTCTTGTTAAGAAAGGGGGTCGTTGCTGTTCCTGGCTTTCACTTGTTAAGAAAGGGGGTCGTTGCTGTTCCTGGCTTTCACTTCTTGTTAAGAAAGGGGGTCGTTGCTGCTCCTGGCTTTCACTTCTTGTTAGTAGGGGGTGTCGTTGCAGCTCGTGGTCCTCTTGCTTTTGTAAAAATGGTGGCCGATTGTTGTAGATATCGTCATACTCGTCGAGAATTGTAAGTGGAGACTTGTTAGCTGCAATCAAATTAGAAAAAAAAAATGTTGAAGTCCCCACTAAGCTACTAGTAACTTATAGAGTGCTTACAATATGTCCATGAAATAAAATCTAAATAGATAATACCTAACGGTTCTTATTTAGTGACTATTAATTGCTATCACTCAAATGGAACACAATTATTATGAGGTATTGTTTCCTTTGTATTCATTTTCCCAAGTGTACAGAATGTATTGTTACTAAGACTGTTCCATTTGAATGATAGTGACTATTAGTATCACCATACTGGTGGACTATTGCAAATCCTTCGTTCTGATTGGCTACGCCACTCGGGGTCTATTTTCAATAGTCATCGACTAGCGAAAAGCGACAACTTTTGCGCTTTTTTAGCTACTCGCCCTCGAGATCTAATTGTTAAATAATCACTAAATAAAAATTATTATTAGTAACTATTTATAACAATCATGCATAAAACATCAGTGTTGTAACTGATTTACAGACACTCGATGTGTGCCCAACACTAGAAAAGTTCTCAGTTTTAGACTCTCATCATAGAACTTCACTAGGTCTCGAGTTAAAATTACTTATTTGCAGAGTCACAGTACACTAAAACATAGTGGCGCTTGGATGTGGGAAACCAAGTTGATTAYTGCTCACGGTCAGATGGAACTATCTTCATCAATTAATTATTCATTTTTGATTTTTTTTGATTTATTTCATATTACAACTGTAAACTAAAATATTATAATTTTTTTAGAGGTTTGGGTTTTAGAAGTTATTTAAAAAAACTCGTAGTTCGTTTTTTTTTAAACACCTACTCGTTATTTTTAAATATCACTTATAGCTTTAGCAATATCCTTAGCAAATTCATGAGAATAAAACCATTTGCTCTGTTTTAAACTGTAGCGCTCTATTTCGATTTTTCGTTTCATGTCATTAATTTGTAAAATAGTTAATATTGTAAATATTTTTTAATTCTGTACATTTGAATGTTCAAAACGTATGGTTATAAATAAAATGCATTTGTTCCTTTGTCTGTCACAGAGCAGAGCTCTCCGATAAGGACGGTTTGTATATTGTCAATTTTGTCAATCCCGCGTGTTTTGTTTTGACATTTTTTTTAGTATATAAGCATTGAAGTTTTTCTTGTATRAAGAATAGATCCTTTATTTCCAGCTAACCCACGTCAATGCTCAGACGCTTTTAAGAGAGRGAACTATCAATTTCACCTCAGTTTTGTTATGCGTCGGTGATTACCGCTTTGGCGTCCGTTTCACCCAGAAAGCTTTCTTTGTTAGAGACGCCGGCTATCAGTGGATCGAGGCTTSATTTACATAGTGTTTGCGACGATTTTTACTAAGACCAGTTCATAACAATTGCGCAATTTTTAATATCATTACAAGCAAAAGTATATACCAAATAGTTTATTAAACTTTCTCTATCCTATAGAAATTCCCAGAGTAGAATATAGCAAAGATAATTAGAACGTGTTTTCCATATATTTTCAACACTAAAAATGCATATCTCCGCACGACCATGTAATATTCTGTTTATCATATGATTATATAAGAAAGCAAATTGTGTCGTATAATTATATTTTTTAGAAACCTCGAATGTGTTATTTTAACTAGTGAAAATATCAACTTTATGAAATAAAGAAATATAGGTATTTGAATAGGTAATAGCATGTTTTGTTTTACTTCGCTCGTGAAATTTGTGACAAATTTTGAAATATCACAAGTGGTATTTATCCCAAATTCCACGTACAAAACATGCTATTATTTGTTTATAAAATGGTTGAATAAAATTGTGCAATTTGAAATACAACTATTAAGRRTAAATACCACTCCTCWAAGSCAATCAAATCCAACCATATTATAACATAGATAATTATATGATAAACAGAAATATTTTCGATCTTAGCGAGTTATATACGTACAGCACATCATAATATTGATTTAAGTTAAGGAATTAATCGTATAAGTAATTGAAGTTTCGTTACAAGGTTTACTTTACTTCAGGGAAAACCCTTGAAATGATCTACTTTGTCTTCTCATTCGATAAATAGCTACGAGCGCATCGTAAAAGTCAAGTTTGATTGGCTGAAATCTGAAAAGACCTGAGAAAACCCACTTAATTAATGTCTAATGCCTTATGAACTATTCTAATATAGGTCGGCARAGTTGATATTCTAGAGAAAGGAGTATTAGAAATATGAATATTTTTTTGCATTAATGACTGATTTTAACTGTGCACAATAGCGTCGGTGTTTTTAAATGTACGCGCCAAGCAAGCGAAACCATGTCACATTTTGGTCCTTACRGAAATAAACAGTGATGAAAATTTGCATACAAAATATTTTTTTTCAAGCGATAAAATTTTGTAACACATCAATTAATTACAGAACATACTCAATAATATGAAATTAAAAATAGAATTAGAGATTTCTCGATGGGTCAACAACGTCATGGTTGCTTGGTTGAGTGCTGTGTTCGCGTTGTTTTACGCGGTTCAACGATCTCCGCGTCGCTTGCTCAAGCTCTTGCTACTCTACACACCCTCTAGACACGTAATACATCTTTCATGTGAAAACTACTATCTTGATGCAAAAAATATAGTTATAAAGTTTTTTTTGTTTACATTTGAGGACTTTTCTGTTGATCTATCTATGAATATTGCTCAGTCAATTATGCCCATTGATTGCTATATTAGTCAAGAGAGCGAGGAAAAGTAGTTTATGCAATAAGACTTCCAAAACTAATAACTTCGCATAGTTTAATTAGTTCACGGAAAACTAAAAATGCCTCAACAACCTTATAAAGTGCTTGGTAAAAAGAAAAAGATGGCTATATTTTTAACTTTTTGAATACCCGTAAATTTTCATTTTATTATCATAACCGTGTACATAATATCAATCAACGTTGAACAGACGCACTTTGCCGGGGGGGGGGGGGGGGGGGGGGGATTCCAAACACACTATACTGACATGAACTTCTAAAAACGAATAATTATCTTTCTATATATAAAAAAAAAACACACAAAATCCGATGTAGAATTGAAAAGGAAGGAAAACGATTGACTTTAGAGAGGAATTTGTAGATATGAAAAACCTAACAAAAGAAGAGAGAAAATCAAGTGCCAGCTTTCAATTCCTAATGTACTCCAACTATAACTGAGAGTGTCAAAAAGAAAGAGAAATCGAATGAAATATTTTATACATCAGTATTATTCTGAATGAAGTTAAAAATACTTACAATTTGAGTAGATGCGTGGACGTGCAGCCACATATGCAACCAAAACAGTTAGGACGATCAAAGTCTTCATCTTTGAGATGTTGATACCTGGACGGTCTKAGCTCGAATGAGATTACGAATTCTCTGCATTGTGCTCAAGGAAACCTTTAGAAGCATTATGTTTGCGTCTAGCTTGGCGCTATCTGAACCGTGAATTGTATACACATACAGTAGTCCATTTTGACAATGGATTTCAAAGCTACRTTTTATTTTATATAATACTTGTTGATATATTTCAGTGAAAGAAAACTAATAATTTCTCAAGTTCAGTTATGTCGTTGTATATTTGTATTGAAGCTGAGGGAAATTTTAACTTTCTTTTGGTTTGCAAAACTACAAAAACTTTTCGAGCGTAAATTTAGTAAACTAATGTAGATTATGATGAATTATTGATGATCAGTATTGAAAMGTAATGCTTTACTGACGTCAAAAAGTCTCCAATAACTTCTAACTATCGACTATCATAAACGAGCCGGTCGAACTGGGTAATATAATTTGAGGAGAGAAATAGTCCGCTGCTCGAAAACCGCACAAAATGCCTGACATTACGTAGGACTACAGATATCATTAACAGCAAACTTGTTCGAAGAAGATGAAGTTAGTTTTTTAGTTTTTCWATGATTACAAAAATAAATGTGTTTTTATAATTAGTTTTTCTACTTTAGTTATGATATGTCAATTTTTTCGTTCATGTAATCACGTGACTTCTAACCTTTTCATATTGTTCTAAAAAGTCAATGTCGTATACGCTTCGAATGTTGTCTGTGAGTTCTATGAGCTTTATGGACTCTTTCCATGACAGAACTGACTGTWCAACCCAAAGAGAATTCCATTATTCAATAATTCTTGTTCCGGCAGAAGAGTCAATTTCTGCATTCAAGCCATTATTATAGAGTGCAAACATAAAAATGTGTGCAACACTTTCCACTATTTACTCCAAAACAGTGTTGATCAAACAATAGAAAACAATATAATTAGCATAATTTAGCAGTATTTAATGGTATTTATGTTGCACAGTTTTAGTGTTTGTACTCTAAAGTAAACTTGACAAACTACTGAAAATTCTCGACAAACTGTCTATTTGCTGCTAAATAGATCGGTATGGCAGTGGAATGCTTACGTCTCGATACTTTACGCGTGAATGAACGCAAAGGTTCTAGATGGAAGGTTTGCTAGCAAATGACCTTTTCCCAAGATGTTGGTTCTGCAGARCCAAAGCGAGGCTTTGGCTAGGTCACAACATCGATGTGTTCACAATGGACGAAGAAAATTGCTGAGCAAGACAAAAATCAGGAAAAGGGAAAAGTTGTATTCGACTTTGTCATGCCTATTCAGGAATTGACCGATCCCGATTCATTGTCCTACCTCCCTAGTTACTGTTGCTACGTCGCATCTACGTCATATAGAGTATGGGAAAGATACCGATTGCTGCGAAACGTAGGAACCTACCTTGCGTTATATGTTTTTTACATTTTCATCAAGAAAAGCTAATAACTTTAGTAAAAATATTCGATTTTGTGTTTGTTGATCGGACAGTTTCAATTCCACTTGGAAAACTGCCCAATGTTTGGTGCTTAATCTATGTGAAGAAGGGATCGGTGAATTATCGTCGAAGGAGTCAAGAGAACTTTTCATAAAATWACAAAAGATGAATCTTTATGAAAACTGTAGATGCAGTGCCTAAATAGCATTCGACAGAACTAGACTGTAACGTTATTGCTTGCATAGCAATTTTTTTCATCCATTCTGAACACGTGGCCGGATATGTTACGACCTAGCAAAGCCTCGCTTTGACCCTGCAGAACATCTTGGGAAAAGGCCATTTTGMCGTCGACTAAGACAAGAAGTTTTATCAGAAGTACGTAAAAGCATTTTATGATTCCGCTTTGAGGTTAAAAATAAAAACACCGTGTAAATATCGTAAACAGGAGTGAACATTAATTGACACTTCAAAGTTTTACGACAGCTTTTGGTTACAGATTCAAAATGTCCATGTYCATTGGTACCCGTATTTGAAGTGTTTCATTCATTTCCACGGTGAATATTGTCCCTGTAGGACTGATGTAGTATCTTACTACTAATAACAAATAGTAATAATTTAATATCGCATATTTGTACAAAGGTTCTATGCTTTACAAACTGACGAATTATAAAAATCTAGCGATCATAAAATTTACATAAATAATATACAAATGAGTGACTTTTGTAAATTTTTCGAATGTACCAAAATTTAGAATTAGATTTTTATATTTTTAGGTATTTGTAAATTTATGCAATTCAGTCTGAGAGCCGTCATAAGTGGTTTTGAAATAAAGCAGTCTATCTATCTATCGACTCACAATGAATTAGATATAGTAAAAATACAGTTACTTTTTGTCGTCCATCTTTTCTAAAATCTCTCCATACAAACCATGGTCTGTTTTGCATACAATGCTCCGCGACAGGAGTTAAAAGTGAAAGTGAGGTATGAGTGATGTTCTTCCAAAGCATTCTCGATAGCTCATAATGTTAGTTTTTGAAAAAACTCCGTGCTTCTCCACATCTGCCATAGCATCGATACCATAATGMGCTTCGGCGAAACAAGCAGGAGTTTGTGAGCTTAAGCGAAAAGCTAGACGTAAAAATTATAAAACCAATTATATTAARGTTCTTAAGGTATAATCCCTTTGTACAAAGCCATTTTGAAATTTCATTTACGTGTGATGTCTCTTGAGAATAGAGACAACGGAGCCAATACTTTGATTTTTGCGGGCATTAAAAGTAATCCGGGTAAAACTTAGTTTTAGCAACCAAGATGAAGGTGCTTATTTTGTTAACAGCCTTATTTACTGCTACTGGGTTAGGTAAGCTAAATCATTGTTGAACTAAAGCTGCAATGACATACTTCATAATTTCACTTATGAAATGTCACTACGCTACCAGCTGATTTTCTTCTCGAGTGCTTTTCAAATCCCGCCGTGTTTAAATCAGAGGATAGCGGCCGTTTTGTAGTACTTTATAATTTTTTTTCTGCGTTTTTCGAGCGAAAAACAAATTTTGCCGGTAAGCCGTGTCTCTTCCTCTGATATAAACACGGTCGTCACCCAATCAGAGAGCGCGTTATATATCAAACATTTTCTAAATTGTTATATAGTACGATATAATTTCATTCTTGATATCAATTCTCAATAATATACACCGTGAATAACAGTTAAACATCTCTAGCAGATATAACTTGTTAAAATCTAGTGCGTCATTACTTTTCAAAGAGAAGACTGGTTAAGTTTGTTACAGTCGATAAGAAGTAAGACAATCAAAAACCTATATTTACTATACCTGGGTGATTGACTTGCGACCAGGCCTGCATATGAATTCGCCAAGGTTGTAAGCCAGTAAGCCCGTGCATTTTATTTGAAAGCGTAAACAAAGAAAAGGGAAAACCYGCAGCTCGGCTTTCACTCAAACAGTACAAGTCGTGTTAAATTTATTTACATAACTAAACAAAATGATTATAGAATTAAACCTTCAAGAATTAAATGCTCATGTGAAACATTTTCCACCTTAAATACACTGACACGTGTTTTTCAAAAGGGAATTTAGTCGAACTTTTTTCACGATGGAATTTTGTTTTGAGTCGTTTCGACATAAACAGTCGCTATCAAGACATTACACGAAAAACCTCAGTCACCGTTCTAGCTCTCGTTGTAAGGTCATAGCTAGTAAATGTGTAACTGAACTGTTAAATAACGTCAAATCGTCGAGCACGCTTGCGGTATATTGCCGAAAATGAGACAAAGGATGAACTACGACAATTGTTTGTACCAAAAATCACAAACGCTCTATAACTCTATTGGAATAGGTGGAGCTTGTAACGTAATGTCATAAACTATAGATGTGCTTCGGACTCAGACGTTTAATGGAATGAATTAATGACTTATAGTAATACAATATATATGAGAAATAATCACGTGGTATATCAATTATGTAGTCAAGAATGTCAATCACGTAACATCCCCCTTCCTTTGAGGACTTATGTAAAGAAACTGATTAGTATACATCATACTCTAAATTGCAATAAATGAAAATCATTACATAGAAATTAGAAATATATTGGAAATATACTGATAATGTTCATTGGACAAAAATCAATGTTTTTGTTTTTGTTTTTGTTTGTTTGTTTGTTTTTTTTTTTTTATTTGACAAAGTCCTTGAGCCAAGCTGGCTCCTTAATGGATCTCCTTGGTCTGAGTTGTTGCTGAGTTGTGCTTGGTTGCTGAGTCGTTGTCGAGTCGAGTTGAGTGGCTGAGTCGTTGCTGATTTGTTCCGCGTTGCCGAGTTGTTGCTGGGTTGGGTTGAGTTCAGTCGTTGCTGAGTCGCGTTGAGTTGCTGAGTCGCGTTGAGTCGCTGAGTCGTTGCTAAGTTGTTGCTGTTTGAGATCAGCTCTATTCCTACGATAGGTTCCTTCGTCCGTCTCTACTTGGTACGATCGCTCGTCGAAACGTTTGACGATTGTCCCCTTGTCCCACTCTTTCTTTCCGAGCCGGAATGGTCTCATCCTGACCACATCACCTTCTTCCAAAGGGGTTAGGTCACGAGCCCCTCGATTGTAGTATGCTGCTTGTTTCATCTGCTTGGCTCGCGTCTCCCTTCTGACCTTCTCTGGCTGTATGGTCTGTGGTTTCAACAGCTGTTTGGTTGTTGGTAGTCCGGTTTTGCATCGTCGTCCCAGAAATCGCTGTGCAGGGCTGGTGTCCATAGACTCTGTTGGCGTATTACGGAGGTCTAACAGCGCTAGGTAGATGTCTCCTCCTGATTTCTTAGCCTTCTTTATGAGTCGTTTGGCTTCTTTCACCGCAGCCTCAGCTCTTCCGTTCGATTGCTGGTGTCCAGGACTTCCAGGGCAGTGGTCAAACCCCCATGCTGTGGCAAACTCTTTAAACTTGTCGCAAGCAAACTGTGGACCGTTGTCACTGATGACAGTATCCGGAATGCCATTCCTTGCGAAATGACACTTCAGTTTCTTGATGACGGTAGATGCCTTTGTGTCGCTTAGGGGCTCGATTTCCCAGAAGTTGGAAAAGTAGTCCACAATCACGAGGTAGTCCTTGCCTCCAATTGTGTACAGGTCTGTACCGATTTTCTCCCATGGTCGCTCTGTGACGTCATGGCTCATCAGTGTCTCCTTTTGTTGTTTTGCCGTGAAGGCAGCACACGTCTCACCCTGAGCTACATATTCTTTGATGTCGGACGTCATGCCTGGCCAGAACATGCACTCTTTTGCTCTCCTTAGGCAAGCATTTATTCCAGTGTGAGAGCTGTGAAGACGTTCCTTCATTGTCTTCCGCATCGTCTTTGGGATGAGGATCCTTTCGGCCCTGAACACAAGTCCATCGTACACGCTGAGCTCATCTCTGTATCCGTAGAAGGGTGTGACCATGGCTGGCAGGTTCCTCTTCTCCTCTGGCCAACCATACTGGATGATCTGCTTCAGCTGTTGCAGAGTCTCGTCGTTGACTGTGGCAGCCTTTAGTTCCTCCAGTCTCTCGTCAGTCATTGGTAGGTATTTTACAGCATTAATCCATTCGAACTCGCCTTGGGTGTTGTTAGATGTTGGTAGGTACGCTCGGCTGAGCGTGTCTGCTAGGTACATCTCTGGTCCAGGTTTGTAGACAATTGTGACGTCGTATCTCTGGACCTTCAGTAACATCCCCTGAAGTCTCTTTGGAGCACTTCTTAGCGGTTTGACTGCGATGATTGCTAGGGGCTTATGGTCGCTCTCCACTGTCACGCTGCGACCATAGACGTACTGGTCGAACTTCTGAAGAGCAAACACCACAGCCAGCATCTCTTTCTCGATCTGTGCATATCGAGTCTCTGGATCAGTGAGAGCACGGCTGGCGAATGCGACGGGCTGTCCATTCTGCATCAGGGCTGCTCCTAATCCCTTGTCGCTGGCGTCGCATTGTACTGTCAGCTCTTCTTCTGGGTCATAGTACCTCAATAGCGGAGCTGTCGTGACCAGCTCTTTGACTTTGGCGAAGGCTGCGTCGTGTTCATGTGACCAGTTCCAGACCACTTCGGTGTGAGTCAGCTGCTGGATAGGCTCCAGTACCTCGGATAGGTGTGGCAGGAATTTTGCGAGATAGTTGACAAACCCGCAAAATCGTCTTACGGCTTTCACGTTGTCCGGCTTTGGCATGTTTTGTACAGCTTCCACCTTCTCGGGATCTGGCTTTAGTCCTTCTGCGGTGACGAGATGACCCAGGTAGGGGATCTCTTTGCAGAGTAGTTTCAGCTTTCTTTTGTTCAGCTTCACTCCTGTTTCTCTGCAGCGTTGTAGGAACTGTGCTAGCTTTTTGTTGTGATCCTCAGTTGCTTCTTYCTCGGTGTCCCCMACTCCGTAGATGACCATATCGTCGTGGACAGTTAGYAGACCATCGAGTCTGTCTAGAGCCTGGTTGAGTCTCTTCTGGAAGATCTCTGACGCGACGCTGACTCCAAARGGTAGCCGTCTCCAGCGATACCGTCCAAAGGGCKTGTCAAACGTTGTCAGCAGRCTCGACTCAYGRTYCAACTGCACGTGCCAATAGCCGTTTCTGGCGTCTACTTTGGTGAACACTTTCGCTTTAGCAAGAGCAGGTAACACATCTTCAATGATAGGCAATGGATAACGTTCTCGTTTGAGCGCCTTGTTTAGTGGCTTGGGGTCCAAGCAAAGTCTTAACTCTCCCGAGTCCTTTGTCTTGACTACCAGGTTGCTAACCCAATTAGTAGGCTCATCAACGGGAGCTATGACGCCTAGCCCCGTCAGTCTATTTAACTCCGCTTTCAATTTAGGTTTCAAAGAAAATGCCACTCTTCTTGACGGTGCAATGTTGGATGGTACTGTTGGGTCTATTGTTAGGTGTTGCTCACCCGCTAACGTCCCCAGCTCACCCTCGAAGACGTCCTTGTGTTCTTTGATGACTTGGTGAGCGGTCTTCCTTTCTCTGTTTTCTTTTACATCAGAAATCGCTTCGAAGTTATCGCTGTGAACTTCAATGAGACCCATTTCCTGTATGACGGTTGCTCCTAGCAACGGAGTCAAGTTCTGTTTTACAATCATGAACTCTACGTCGTACTTCCGGCCGTTTCTTGGGTTTGTGACAGCTAGATGGCACATTCCTTCTGGTTTAAGCTCAGTTTTATTCCACATCTGCAACACTTTCTTTGTTGGTTTTATCTCGTTGTTGTTAACATATTTCTTCGGTAATACGTTAACCGTGGCACCACAATCGACGTGGAATTTGACCTTTTGCTCTCCTATCATCATGTTTGCATAGATTTGCTTGTTTTCGCCACGTGCTGCGCCGACTTTGTTAATGGTTTCCGGTTTCACTGATACTGAGAAGCTGTATTCAGGATCGCTGGATTCAGTGTCCGTTTCATCGTTGAGTGCGTGCGCCTTTTCTTGTCTGCACATCTTGGCGAAGTGGTTTTTCTTGCCACACGACTTGCAAGTTTGTCCATACGCTGAGCAGTTCCTGCGTCCTGGCTTGTGTTTGCCTCCACAATAGATGCATTGTTTCGTGTCTGGCATTTGTCGGCTGTCACTTTGTTTCCGGTTAGACGACGTTGCTCTCGTAGCTTTCTTGTCTTTGGTCCTTCGCGTAGCCTGTAATTTGTGGATTTCTTCTGCTTTGCTTGCTTGATCCATATCTTTAATCTGTCTGGACGAAACTTCATCGCTTCTAACGATTTCAATGCATTGATTCAACGTGAGCTTCGACTGACGCAACAAGCGTTTTCTTGTGTTCGCGTCACGTATTCCAAGCACGGGTCTGTCACGGATTAGCGAGTCATGTAAACACACGCAGAAACTGCAAGACTGCGCTAAAGTTCTTAGTTCAGCGACGTATTTATCGATACTTTCCCCTTCCTTTTGGTTGCGGCTGTTGAAAATGTATCTCTCGTACGTCTCGTTGGTCTCTCCGATAGCATATGTATCAAATCGTTTGAAGATCTCGTCGAGGTTCTCTCGTTGTTCGTTGGACATATCAAAACTGTTGAAGGTTTTGAAAGCTTCTGTCCCGATCGAGTATAAGAACAATGCCACACGGTACTTTTCTGTCTGTACACTGAGGTTAGTGACGACCGCGTAGTTTTGCCATTGTTGCTTGTAGACTTTCCAATTCGAAGCCTTGTTTTTCCCCGTTATGTTCAGCCCGGTTGGCGGCTGGATTCCTGGTATCGGTGGTGTAGGTTGCTGTTGAGGCGTCTCTGCCGGAGTCTTTTTCGTTCCTGACTTCCCTGCGCTGGCAGTGTTCTGCGAGTCAGTCATCTTTCCTCTTAAAGTTTTCCGCTTGCCACCATGTAACGTAATGTCATAAACTATAGATGTGCTTCGGACTCAGACGTTTAATGGAATGAATTAATGACTTATAGTAATACAATATATATGAGAAATAATCACGTGGTATATCAATTATGTAGTCAAGAATGTCAATCACGTAACAGAGCTAAGCTGCTCTACTTCTTCCAGTGAGTTTGTAGATACCTCAAAGCTTAGAGGAAACAAGAGCTAAGAAAAAGGATTTACAATGGCTTCTCCTAAGATACTTTGGATTTGAACGTCGCTTCAACGACCTTCTGAAGTCTTCGTGAAGTCGGCCATTGCTTCGCATACAATGGAGAACCCGCGTAGAACACAGACCAATCATTTTTATCAGGGAGGGGAGTCTTTTGGTATTAAAAAAAAAATTATTTGTTATCTCATTTTTAAGATAAAATTCTATTTCTATAACGACAAACTTTTTGATTGACATTTAAAAGTTATTTTATAAAGATTTTCAATTTCTCTTCGCGTTTTCTCTTCGATTTTTCCGGGATAGAATAAAATGACAGGCAGCCTACTCCACTTGGTCGAGTTTTGCTGTGCAAATTCCTCCCGTCGGGGGGTTATGTTTACAACATAAGCTTGTCAGCTTTGCGCTGATTGGCTAGTCGCATTTTCTTAAATCACCCAGCGGCGACGTTCCGACAAATAGTGTACGCTTATTTTGGCCTTCTCGTCTTATCAGTTGTATTATGTATGTATTATACRTGATGTCAATATTTATCTAGAAGAGTTATAAAGTGAAAATGAAAAAACAGGTACATATTGACACCTTGACAGTCTTTCTTTGTGAAATATTTGCAATAATCGCAACGTTATTGAAGCACTGAATTGTGCCTATCTGTGAAGTTCTTGAGTCCGCCAGTAGCATTAGCGGGGAAGTTGAAGCCGAATTTGTTTGTGGACTTGTGGTGAAAATATGTAGCACTCATGAATATGTAAAAAGGTGGAAATATTGTGGGCTAATATAATCAATTTTGTGTGCCTTTCACTTTTACACCTTTTGCTGTTCAKTAACCGCGAAGGAACTTTCAATCAAGAGAAACTGCATTGTCTTTAGCGCGAACGAACGTTCATTAACGCTTAGGGAGTTTCAAGAGCGTGGAGGGAGAATCATTWACATATTTAGCATAGATATGGACAATCATGCATAACTGGTCGCAGATTCATTAACGTTTTCAAACCTTCATTAGCACATTATGTGCGTTCAATAAACTACAACAAACATACAATACCAAAATACGGACATTTAATTTCGTCATAGTTTTTGCAGTCAAATTTCAGCGTGAAATATGACTCGTTACAGCTATAAAAGTACTACGGCTTGTTTTAAACACATTGTGTTGGAATATAGCAAAAATTATACAAAAATTATACATACAAAAAT